GGTTCATAAGATTTTATTCATTTTTCTTACAAATGGGAAGAAAGTTTTTCTCTTATGTTTCCTGGTAGCCAGTAGGAAGAGAGAAATACAATCATATGCATAAGGTGATGTTTGTAAAGATAAAAATATACCTGTTCCTGGTCCTGGGCCTTGAGAGATACCGTGTCATACCTCCTTATGGGTTTTCAAAAGGAGAGAAGCCAAGGTTTGAACCCAGGATCCTGCACCTCTTCTGTAACTTGAAGAAAATTCTGCTCTACGTGGCATACATTTGGTATCTGCTAGCCCTTAGTTCCTAAACAGTTCTGGACTAACACTGTAGGGAGCTTGGTTTTCTTCCTAATGTTCTTTTAAAACTATAACTTGATTTAGATCCCATGAAACTACTTACTGGGCCCTGGACCTACACAGATTTTTTTTTTTTTTCTTTTGCTGATTCTATTTTAAATGTACTTTCAACATAGAACCTTCAAAAGGCAAAGAAAGGGGTGAAGAAAAGTTGGGAAGGAGAAGAAGGAATTAAGTTTTATTTCAGAGCTTTACATAGCAAAACATTTGATGATTGAGTGGATGACTGTTTAACATGGCAGACTTCATGAACTACAAATTATTTTTTAGCTACAGGTATTTACAGAACTCCTTGTATGTGTTCAGCACTGTGCAAGCAAAGGGGGTTTTAGAAATACACTGTATGTACAGTCAGAAGAATTGCTATTGGGCATATCACTAACTGTGTTTGTGTGCATGTGTGTGTGCATGCATGAGTGTGTGATCAATTTCTCCCAAGTCTGTTTTCATATCTATAAAAAGGGGTTGAGGGTTCTCAGCCTATCCACCTCTTCTCGTGAGTTGTGGTGATTGTGTATATGCCCTAATATATTAAGAAAGTGCTTTGGAAGTGTTACAGCCCTGTGTGCATTAGTAGGTCTGCTTAAATGTGCTGTTACTACAGAGAAGGAGAAGACCCTATCCCTGGGGTTAAGAAGAGTTTTCAAACTACATAGAGAACACAGATGAATTAATGAGCAATACCAAACCTAATGTCTTGCTAAATTGTGAGGCACAGCCTAACCTCAGAGCTTGTTAAAACTTAAGGGCTAAGTCACTCATGTCATAGAACCCTGCGTGTTGGAAGAGTGGTGGAGACCCAAGCCTTAATTGACAAATCTGGCACCTATACTAGTTGAAAGAATCAAACGTTAGAATTTCTGAGGTGTTAGGGAACTTTAAAGATTATCCAGTCTTTGGAAAATGTCAAATAGCATTTACTTCTTAGAGATTTTTTTTAAAAGTTATCATGGTTAAGATGTTGCCCTGGTTTTGTGCGCATGTGTGCTCGTGTGTGTGAATGCACACATATTCTTGAAGGTGACTGGGTTAACCTAATTAGGAGTTTGAATTTCCATTAGCCTGGAAGAAAAATGGATATTTTCGAGTAGCTGGTTGGTTGTTGTAGGAACCAGCTCTCTCTCTCTCTCTCTCAGAGACTGTGGGATTGGCCCATTTGCTGTGCTTCTTAGGCTGTGCGAGGAAACCAGACTTACTGTGCCTTTGTGTATTCTCTGGACGTGCTTCAGGGCGTGGTCACAGCCGAGCTGAGATGGAGGT